ATTTAATTCTGCCCACAAACTACCTGGCTGCCAGTGCAGATCTTTCAACACTGAGGTGATGTAATTCCTGTCTCACATCCCAAAAATAGCCTGGCTCCTACATTTTGGAGTTACCTACAGTTTTCAGAGGCAGCCCCACATAGAGCATGTATTTAGGGTAGCCAAACTAGTGGGAGAGTGGAGGGGTGGAGACATGGGGGGTGGGGCTAGTGATCAGTGACAGTATGACACGATTTTGGGGGGAAACTTGGAAGTGATGTCATACCTGTCTAGGTATCACCAGAAACGGTATGGTTTTATCATAGGTATCATCTAGGTTTCCCCTAGAAGTGATGTCAGTCTTCTCTAGGAATCATCAAAAACTCTATGGTTTTATCATAGGATTTCTGGTTATTCCTGGAGAGGTATTATGGCACGTTCAGCTTTCCCCCAGAAATGACATCACATCATCGGCTCAATGACCATTTAATTTTTTTTTCCCATTACCGCTCACCCTGCCCCTGCCAGAGGACTGGCAATCCTAAGCAATTCACTGTTATTTAACCTGGACGTGATCATAGCATGGATCACCATAGCCTGAGGAACAGAAGGACCTGGCACATATCATCCAAACCTAATAAAGGACCTGAGTATTTGTTAGCCAGGATTCAGCAGCATCCCTCTTCAGGAAGAGTACAGCTCCCTCCAGGACAGGCTGATTCCTCAAGCAACTATGTTGCTGACCGATAACTCCTCAGTCTGAAATGGATTTATGCTAGAGTTCCATGATTCAAACAAGTGATGATCGCCTTCCCTTCTTCTCCCCACAACAGATACCCTCTGAGAGCTGTGACTGGCCCAAAGTCTCCCAGCTGGCTTCAAGTGGAGGAGTGGGGAATCAAACCTGGTTCTCCAGATTAGAGTCCACCGCTTTTAACCACTGCACCAAACTGGCTCTCCAAACACATGAGTATCTGTCTTTTCCTTCCTAGGGCTTAAAGCTGCCCAGGGGGCATTTTTGATTGAGGTTTATGCCCCTTCCTTTCCCTTAGAAAGAAATATCTTGATCAATTCATATTGGATCTCCTTGTGGCTACTTTTTAGGATCAAATTATATGTTGGGTATTTCATTCACAGAACTCCAGGATTCCATATAATTATGTTCATTCATAGTCCTTTTTATGAGCCGTGGTGTTTCCCTCACGCAGAAGGAGGGAAATGCTCAACATGAAAATAGTTTGGTGTCAGCCTTACCTGTGACTAAGCATTGCCTTTTATCTCTCTTCTGAACTCAGTATTGACAAAAACTGATTGTTTTTTACCCAAGTGCAATACAAGATAAACTAGCAGAGCTTTAAATGAACAGCTGAGATTTCTGGATCACAGGGCGTATTAAGAAATACAGCCTGCATGTCTTGACACGTGATCCTGAGCTGATGAAATCTTTACAGATAAATATCTTTCCCACCCCCCCACATCCAATCAATGGAACAAATTCCTGCCTTGCTCTCTCTTTCCTGTGATCTTTTTTGAGCAGTGTTGGCGTTTGACAGATGCTGATGTGATTTACTAGAAATCTTTTATAATTAGTTGGCATCAAAGCTGGTGGTGAGCGTAAACATATTGTTTCAGGACAACTTGTACCATGTTTACTACATCTATTTATTACCTTTTTATTTCACCCTTCCTGAAAGAAGCTCAGAATGGCATACATTTTAATCTCCACAACTACCCTATGACTTTCATGGCTGACTGGGGATTTGAATCTGGATTTCCTAAGTCCTATTCTGACAAGCTAATAATTACACCACACTCTAGCCTTTTTCACTGTTATATTATCGGCACTCCTCCCTTGGCTATTGGGACAGCATGGTACCCACAATCCTCCTAATACATGCAATCACCATTTTGTGTGAAAAGAGCAATGTGTATATTTTCAAGCTTTGGTGCATGCAAACACCTGTCCAAAGCAAACCTGGGTTTCTGATCATGCATATTGAAGCTGGAAAATATGCCCACTTCACAATTCCCACAAAATAGCAACTGTGTATTGAGAAGATCACAGGTAGCTCACTCTCCCGGTACAGAAGTTAGGAGCACAAAAACTATAACAACTGAAAAGGGGTGCTGATACCTTATTGGCATTTTTCTTAAAAAAAGAGAAAGAAATATCTTGATGTTTATTTTTTCAGACTTGACGGCCCCACTGACCAGGAAGAAGTCTTAGCAGGCATTTCCTCTATGCTTCTCAAGTCTGAAATAATTGGTAGACTTTTGTTCTCTTCATTAGGCATCCAATATGTCATCCAGTGAACATACTTAAGGCACAAAAATGGGGGCTAAAAGCCAATCAGTATAACAGTTAATCATGTTGATAATGTGTGCATTGGGTGAAAGTAATGGGAATCTGGTTCAACATGTAGATGTGCTTTAGGATATGCTACAATTGCAAATAATTCCTTAGGCAGGACTAGGATCCTGAGGTGGGGTTGGAGCATCCCTGAGGCAGAAAACTTGCTGAAACCAAATAGGCCTGGGTTAGATCAGTACTTGAGCGGGAGACCAACCTTTGTAAACTGCCCCTGAGCTATGCAGATGGGGTAAAATATGATAAATAATAATGACAGCAGTTTAGTACTACAAACAAATGATGATGTGCTGTCTTTGTAGGGAAGATGCATCCTATCAGACATACTCTTGTGCCAAGGTTTAATGATAAGAAAAACTGACGGTAGGATATCAATAAAATAATAAATCAGGAGATGGATGGAGGTGGACATCTTCTGAAGTGCTTTCTTGAGTCATGAAATAAGACTGCACTCTTCAGTTTATACTTGCCAAATGGGACTTGCTGAGTTAATCTGATGACAAGCAGGTGGTTGCAACTTCAGTCTCACCCGGTAGCTCATATATTCTCATGCTTGTGAATTCTTTTCTAAACCATTTGGCAACATTAAAAATGGGCACAATACAACATCAGATATAAATGGTTTCTTCATTCTTCTGGGTGGGCATTCCTTAAACCTTAGGGCTGATCCATGCATGCATAGCTGCCACTTGACAACTGCAGCATCAAGAGCAAGTTCTGCAAATGAAAGGACTTTCCCACCGTTTCAAGCATGAGACTTTTCAATAGAATGATCAGCCATGAGCTTCCAGTTATAACGAATCAAGCGATGCACGTGCATGCACGGACTAGCTCTTGCCTGCCCCATATTCATTTCTCTACTCATATTCTTAACATTCACATTTGTGAATATGTGCTGAGAAGTTTCAGGTTGCTTTTCCAGGCTCACGTCTCAGACCCAAGCCTGAATTCAGCTATACTTTAGCAAGGATGCTGATATAGAGCCATTTCCCCCTGTCTGCGGTTTAACAATGTGGGATGGGGGGAGAGCTGGAGCGGTGAACACAGAGCTCTTTTGCAAGTTCCCACAAGAGCATTTCAAAACTACTTTGCTGAGCAGCATGCGTAGCATGCATGCATTTTTCCTCGGTACGTGACCTTGCATTTGACTCCATTAAGAGCCAATTACATGTAATTTACCCAGATTCTGTAACAAAACTCTCAGGCTCCAGCAAGCGAGTTCTTCTGTTGGCTTGAATTGTCCATGTAATTGATTATTCAAAATTGTTCAAAGCAGGGGATGTCACTATGCGTTCCAATAGAGGGGCCTGCTGTTGCTAACTCCTTAGGCTGGATGGAAGTGTCATGCCTGATAATTGGATTAATTTAAGGTGATCAGAATGCATTAAGTTAATAGAGGTGACTTCCTTCAGGATGTTACAAGTGTCAACACTGATTTACCCTTGCTGCATTGATGAAAAATAGAATAGTCATATGTAGTACCTTTCTAACTTGATACATCACACTGAAAAAACATTGGGGAAGAAAGACAAAATATTCATTTCCTTTGCTGAAGTTACTTTGCCTGCTCATTCCCCCCATTCTCTGCAAATCCTACATTCCCCCCCAAACCCCCACTCCCCCCCCCCCCCCCGTGACACCAGTTTCCCAAGGCTGCAGTGGATTTTCTCATGTCTGAGACACTCCAAAAGATTATCTAATTGTCTATTGGATAATTATCTATTGGATATTATCCTCTAGCATACAGACCAGTAGCTTTGTGTTTGTCATGTATATGTGAAAGAAAGTTTGCCACTGAGTGGCAAACAAGACAACAGGGGAGAGCCCCCCAGCTATATTTATAGGCTCTTATGTAGCAGGTGTTGAGAAAAACCTTTGTGCGCTGAGACCCTGGAGAGCTTGGCAGAGGCACGGGAAGGCTGGAGCTGCACTGTGATGTTGTCACTGGCTCATGGTGAGCAGTGTCTGCTACTCTCCAATCATGTGCTATGTGATTCCGCTGTTGCCAAGAAACGTTGCCTAGCAGTGAAGGTGGGAGTCGGGACCCCTTGTCCCTCCCTTGGTCCCCATTCAGGGACTAAGTGCATGTGATGCTGGAGTTCTGTCAGTGGAACTTTAGACACGGAACTGGGCCCTAAAAGAAGCCATCAAGGGGTAATTGGACAGGATGACGACTCTTCTCCCTGTGCCATTTCCCCTATTGCAAGTGGATTTCCAGGACTGATTTAAACTCTGTTAAGGAAGAAAAGATACCAGTATTGTGCCAGGCTTAAAGCAGCCTGTGAGGATGGGGACACTGTTGATGAGTAACATAGTATTGGGGGAAGAGTTAAATTCTTCAGTCACAAAGTATTGGTTTCAAAGCCCTGTCACTGATACATGCATACAAGCAATGGGGTAATTTCCTATCATTTCTGATAATACTGATGTTAGAAAGTAACTGGTGGATTCTTTCACACTTTTGCTTGTATGTGTTGTGACAGATAAAATTCACTGGGAAAATAGGGTCCAGCAAGGTGAGTAGAAGTGCACAGCCCTACTAGTATATCTCAAACATTTATTAGTTTACATTAAAAGAAACGACACAACATTTTAGGTGTACATCTATAGTAGCATAGTGTACACCATAAAATGTGAATATGACAAAGGTGCAAACATATGTATCACACAGGTACAGAGGTTGGGGAGCTGAGATTAGCTCTAGTATAGCTATTAAGATTAGCTGCTAAGTATACATTTGATGGCAAAACAAAGTTTGCCATCACAGAGAGTGACAGGTTCTGTGTATACACAATGAATAATTCAGACTGACCAGATCATGTACACTGATGATGCCAGTAAGAAAGGAAGACATCTTGCATTAGAAACGATGGTACTAAAATACATTTTTTCCCACACTACATTACAAAGCAATGGTTAAGATGGTCTTTTCTTAATCTATACAAAATATTTGCTCCTCATTTAGTGGCATTTTATATCATATATGCACCAAGAACTGCGAACTAATCTGAATGATACACTCAACACGGGTAGATTCCATTTCCATTAGTCATATTTGTTCATTTATAGAAGTTACCATATGCATTTGGTGTGTGGGGTTGGTAGACTGCCACCAAATGAATCCCCCTCAAAAATTCCATGATGATTTCTAGTATCTTTTGAGCCTGTTAAATGTTGAATATTTGAATCATAATCCTGAAGAATGAGGCTTTAAACTGTCTTAAAGAATGCAGACTGACCTAGCCATCTATGTGTCTATGGTTCTACTTCAGAGTAGTGACTTCTACAACTTCCTTCAGGAAGCTAATGATGACTTATGTATAAGAAACTTCCAGAATTCAGTGTGGGTAAGAACACGTTGCAATGGAAACTTTTTTAAAGAAAAATTCTTTACACCACACACTTCAGTTTAATATTTACACAGTCAACACTTGTGGCAAGAACTCATGCCAGACATCATGTCACCAACTTGGAATATGGTAACCCATATTGTGTAGACTGGTCCTAAGTCCTACACGTATTATGGGCAAGCAAGTTTCAGTGATGGGTGCAAATTTCGTGGGACTCTCTTTGGGCCAGTGGTCATGGTGTAAAATGGCAGGAACACGACTAAAGGCTACAAAGGAAGACATCAAAGTCTGAGCTCCCAATAACGAGTATTTTGCAAGCAATCACCTGGCTTTTAAAATTCAGTATAAGCAAAATATTTTGATCTAAGCAGATTTACAGCCAATACATATTGTCACTCTGTTTAATTACTTTTTTTCCCCTGCAGAGACTATATCCTACTTCTAGCAAAGAAGTCATCCAGAAGTTGGTAACTTTCTGTTTTGGCAACTAAATTCTGTTCAGGCTGAACAGAAACATGGCATCACAGATTATCAAATGTTCTTGCAAGTAACTGAACGATCCATCTTTGATCTGGAGTCGAATTCAGCATGTAATGTCCTCTCTCCCCACTTCTCATGTGTTTTGAACTACAAAACTTTAGAACAAGGTATTCTGGTTTGAATCAACATGATTCTCAAATACTTAAACTGGTGCAAGATGGCATAAGATGCAGTTGGCTGCAGTTGTCTGCAGATAAGAATCAACGACCTTCTGTGGTCGGTCACCAGTTCTAAATACTATAAACAAGTGGTGCTAATTTACAAAGTTATTTTCTACATAAAATTAAGTACAATAAATCTGTGAGAGGAAGAGAAATGTGCTTAAGCTTGCGTTTGTATGTGCAGTCCCCATTGTTCTTTAAGATACCGGAGATATACTTCCTTCTTTTCCTCCAATGGCTTGTCAGAGTATGGTCTCTCATAAAGTCCAGGAAAAAGTCCTTTCCCCAGAGATTCATCATACTTTTTCTTTTCAATTATTTGTTCATGTATTTCATTTCTCAGGTTGGACAATGAGGGTAGATAAAGTCGCCCCGTCTGGGGACCCCAGGCTACTACTAAGCTCTGCTCTTCTGCTTCTTTCGCTGCCTGTTGGTCTTGGCTTGCCCACATTACAAACTGGGGGCAGTATGGTGAGGCTGAGCACCTAGTCACGTTTGTGAACAATTGTGGTTCTTTGGACACAGAGCCTACCCGATCCAAAAAGGGCTCCTTTTGATCATGTACCAAACAAATGTCTGTAACTATACCACATTCAGGACAAAAAGCCTGGTCTGCCTTCTCAGTCACGAGATTTATCAAAGGAGGTTGGAGGTCACTACAAAGGCTTTCTGGGGCAAGCTCCATCTCATTCAACAGGAGTTCACTTAGTTTCTGCACTAAAAACACATTTGGTGCTCTCACATCAAATGGAAGATAGTAGGATGGTCCTCCTTCAGGAGTTGGTGACAGTGCTTTTGGGGAGTTGTGTAGCAGTCCCTCTAGAGCAAAAATGTTTTCTTTTAAGTGGAGCTCTTTTTGTTTGTTCTCAGCTGGGATTCCATCTTCAGCCCTCATGTCAAACTCATAGACCACAACCTCTTCATTGTGCCTCTGGCTGAGAGTACAATGAGATCCAAGAGCTGTCACTGCTGGCCTGTTTCCATCTTGCTCATTTTCAAACTCCTCAATCAGGCAAGTATCTGGAGAATGCTTTTCCTCTAGTTCTTCTTTCGAAGAGATCTCTTCAATATTGTTTCCATCACAAATCCCATCGAAGCTCTTGGCATGATCTAGGAAATGAGTGTTCTCCTGAGGGATCTTGTACTCATCAATGATAGTGACAAAGTTAACCACTATTTTTTCAGCAGGTACAAAAATATCTCCCCCAAACTGATTACTGCGCTTCAAAATCTGGAAAAGAATAGAATTAAATTAAAAAAAAAACAAGCAGAGAAAGCAGTTAATAGTAGCCTCTACTGTGAATCAAGTTTGTAATCCGACTAAACTAAAGTTGATAATACAGAACAAATCACATATGCAAATAATGATTAGCCCTTTATATGCCAAAAAATGAAACCACTACCAAATATACTTTTTAGCACACAAAGGGGTGCTTTGAGGGGATTTCTCTTGTGTTATTTTGGTTTTGCAACACGTGAGTGTACTTTTCCTGGGCACCTGAATCTTGCAGTCACAAAACTCTATGAGATATAAAGGATTTCCCCCCCTTCAGTGTTTGGTGTCCCTTGGTGTTGAGCAAAGAAACCAAACCGTCACAGTGTAGCATGGAAACACAAGGAATGCTGGTTTGTCCCCTTGGCAACAAATACATATGGCCTCTTTCTTTCTTTAACACCAGTCCTTCACAATGAGCAACTATTTTCACTCCTTTGTGTAAGAGGGTAAAAAAAAAAAGTCAATAAAAAGGAAAGTGAGTGCAGCAGGCAAAAACGTTCAAGAAGTAGCCCCAGCTTCATAACAATCAGTTTCAATTATCTATAGTCTCATTTCTTTCAAATGAATTTCCAGTACCATCCTAAACAGTTACACCCGTTTTAAGTCCATTGAAACCAGTGGCTTTAGAAGTGTCACTCTGCTGAGAATGGCACTTTAAGAGCCAAACTAGATGATACCACATCCCTGAGTCCAACATAGGGATGCAGCACCCTTTTAGAGCCTGGATTTTTACTTTCCAAAGCACAGTGGAGGCCTGCTCCTGCTGAGAACCATGGCACAGTGGGATAACCCCCCCCTCTCCTTCTTGCTACTGGTCATTTTCAAGAGCAGTGTGTGGCTATTTCAGGCTTCTGCAGCCTTCATTGCTCTCTCTTGCCATGTATTTCTCCTCAGCCCCTCTGTAACATTTCTACTGAGAGTCTCTTTCTCTGCTATGATTGAGCTAGCCTGCACCATAGTCTCTGCCCTATTTCCATGTTACTTTCCATATGTATGCAGTTCTTCCATTCAAGGCACTCCATCTGGCTGTCCTTGATACTGCTCACATCATTGGTGGCAGGATAAGTGCCGATACATATCCGCCAGAGGAAAACTATGGGAAGCCCTATTACAGGAAGTCCTACAGATTAAATGTAAACCAATTTGCACAGCCTATTGCTCCTATCCTGTTTGGCCAATAATACCTGCACATGAAGATTTTTAAACTGCATGACAAAAATAAGCGAGTTGAAGTGGCACATATTTTTTTAAATGGGTTGTTTAGCCTTGGGTGGCCTACTTAGTCAAACAGATTGGTTACTAGATTTGGATGCTAGCTGGGTAAAACATTTAAGTACTGTAGTACTTTCACAAAAGCAGAACATCCAGCCAAGTCATTTGCCTGAAGTGTATGCTGTAAATCCTTCTGAAGCATCATTGAATCAGATGAGAGTTGGGAGCAGTCTTGATCCAGTTTTATTTAGAGCTTTTGCATTTCTTAATTATCTCTTTTCCTTAATGATGAATGAACCCATTAGTAATTTGTGGTCACTGACCTCCCCCCCCCCAATAACTCTTTGTATATAAATATTGCCTCGCTTTTGGCTTTGTGCAGCTTTTTTGCTTGAGAACACTTCAGTCCTTGCTCACGGCAAAAGCCCCTTTTACAAGAATTTTCATTTTGATGCTCATTAACTGAGCTGCTGGTTTGGGAGAAGACTGAAGCATAGGAGGTGAAATTTAAAAATGCAGCTAACTCTGGAGGGGTGTGCGTGTTCATCTCAGCGGGAGGGTTCAATTCCTGGCTTCTCCACTGAAAGAGGATCTCAAGCCATAGAACAGAGAAGGCTGGATCTCTCTGAGATCCTGGAAAGCCACCATGGCCAGTCTTTCCTGTAGTCCTGGGAAAGTGAGCTTTGGTTCAGCCCAGCCTGCAGAGCGGGAGGAGAGGCTGACTGGGCTTTTCCCCTTCCCTAGTTATCTCACACGTGGCTAATCTTTCTTACCCTTCCTCCCTCCAAAATGCTTGTGACTACAAAGGTTATTGCACACGAGAGATAATGCGGAAATTAAAAAAACAAAAAACCAAGCTTGGCCAGAAGCTCTTCCTTGTTTGGCTGTGGTTTTGGTTTCCCTGATAAGTGGGGGAAAGGCAGGGGTGAATGAGTGCTTCCAGTCCCTCCAGTTCCCTCTGCGTGTGAAGACAGCCAATGAATGAGAGAGCCTTCAGGATTCTAAACAGGCAGAGCCAGGCTACTTCACTTATAATCACTGTAATCTGTAGCTTGGCTCCAGGGGAGCTCCTGGTCCTCTGAAGCTGTGTATGCCTGAGGCTCTTCCAAGCAGCAACAACGCTGGGAAGAGAGAGACGGAGGGAACTATTAGCTTTCCACTCATGTGCCATTGTGCACTGAGCATCTGAACACATGTGCTGCTTCTGATATTCCTGAAATTCTGTACCTCAGCTAAGCCTCACTTCACAGCAGATATTTATTACAACCATGTGGAGGAAGTAACGTATAAGACAGATCATTGACACCTACGCCCAATCTTCCCCAGGCCCTGCTCCAGTAATTTGTCTCTCTCCCTGAAAGGGTGGGGAGTCATGGTGAGAAATTACATGCATTCTCCCAGGGATCTGGTGTCAAGTGTTGATGCTTTGGCTCATACATTACTTCCCCCATGTGGCTGCGCAAAAGAGTGGTTCCACATGAGGGATTTTTTTTAAAGGCACGGACTAGAGTTTAAGCATAGGCAGTGTTTTAAGTGACAGGACTGTCGTGAAAATGTACGGGGAAAAGTCCTTACCAAGTTCTTAGGATACGTTTGCTTCGCTGTGTAAATGTACCTGCATATACAGCAGCTTGGCACCAAAACGATAAGAACGGTTAAAAAGACAGGCAAAATATATCCAAATATGACTGTTGTTGTCTGCTTGAAAGTAGGATCTGTTGGGAAAACATAAAGGGTAAATGTGACAATCCATTCTCCAGATCAGCTGCTATTAGCATTTATACTGCCCGTTGCTTGTGGGCAGGGCTATTTTTGTAGCAGGTACTCATTTGCATATTAAGCGACACACCCCTAATGTAGCCAATCCTCCAAGAGTTTACAGTAGCTCCTGTAAGAAGAACTCTGTAAGCTCTTGGAGGATTGGCTACATTAAGGGGGTGTGGTCTAATATGCAAAGGAGTTCCTGCTACAAAAAGAGCCCTGCGGGAGTCCAAAGAGACTGAAAAAAACATTGATTAGTAACTTTAAAAAGAAGAGAGAGCAGCCATACCTGGTTGAGAGATCAGAAAATCTTCCCATCCTTCCAAATTACAGTATAAATAAGGTTTTCAAATAACCATGATGAAAATTAGGAAACTCAGCCAGAATTGCAGAAGCACTGCTTGTAGATTCAGTGCTGTCATCTTGACACCCTCCCATCCGTTGACACATAATCTAGCATTTTGTGAAATATCCCTTCTCGAATATGTATGTATGCAGTCAAATAATTGCTTTCTGTAACTTCTTACTTGTACAGCTGGGTTAGATTCTTTTAAAACTCTATATTTAGTCCGTTCTTCCCTAACAAGTTACTACAGTCTTTGCCAGCAGATTCTTTCATTGGCTAATTTACCCCAATTATTAGAGATACATAGACTGCTAATAAGGACTAAAAAGGGCTGACTTGCTCGTTTCTAATAAAAGAGTCAAAATTATGCTCTTCAGAATAAAATGAAAGCCAAAAAGGCCTCCACTTAATACGGCAAAGCTGAAAGCAGCAGGCTGTGAAAGGAGGCCCTCTTTCAATAACTTTTGAACCTGAAATGAGTGTGACGGAGAAGAAAGAGGGGGAGGGGAATATATTTCGTTCCCTTCAGGGCAGCCTTCCTCTGAGTGGGACTCATAGAGGCTAAAGGACAAGCAGTTAACGTGTGGTTGTGAAAATGCAGGCAAGTCACAGGCTGCGTGGTTGTCCAGGTGGGTGGGAGTGGGTGTGTCATTACCTCAACAAGGAGGGTACTTAATAGCTTGGTCCCTGGCTAATCAGTGGGTTGTGCTATGAGGCTAGATTGGCTAGAGCTCCAAGGTGACGGCCACATGAGAGGACTTGCCTGATCATAACAAGAATGCTATCAACAGTATACAGAGATCTCTGTCTATAGCATGTGTGTAGGGTTGCCAGCCTCCAGGTGGTATCTGAGATGTCCCAGAATTACAACTGATTTCCAGGCGATAGAGATCAGTTCACCTGGAGGAAATGGCTGCTTTGGAAGGTGGACTCCATGGCACTATACCCTATTGCATTATACCCTATTGAAGTCCCTCCCTTTCCCAAACCTGGCTAGGAATGCCTGCCTCCAGGTGGGACTTGGGGATACCCTGGGATTTCAGCTCCGCACCAGACTACTTTGGAGGGTGGATCTATGGCATTGTACTCCTCCCCGAGGTCCCTGTCCTCCCCAGGATCCCTCCCCAAATCTCTAGGAGCTTCCCAACCTGGATCTGACAACCCTACCCCCTCACCCCCCCGCTGGTGGCCAGGGGGACCTGGCGACCCTACCAAACCCTGTCCACCTCAGGCTGCACCCCCAAAATCTCCAGGTATTTCCCAACCCAGAGCTGGCAACCCTACAAGTGTATATGTGCTCAGTTACCTGTGTCATTCAGTATCTTATTTCTTAAGCTTATTATGCATGTATAAAGCCAGGTAGTTCCCCTTATGATCTGTACAGGAAAAGGAGGGAGGGATCCCTTTCACATTTTTTCTCATGTTTTTGTCAATCATTAGATAAACAAATATAAGGTCAACAGTCGTGTTAGTCTGACCCGCAATCAACAGTCTAGGATCCAGAAAAAAACACTGCGTGTTAATTGAGATCAGCGTCCTATCTGAATCGTGATATGCTTAAGACTTGTTGTCTAGCTTTTATGAAAACGAGGGCTTTGGCACCTCTATAAAATTTCCTGAAGAAGATTCATTTTTTGAAACGTTGGTAAATAATCCGGAGACGACGTTGTACCTTGGTTTATAAATTCTATTAAGTTGTGTATCATATTGTAATGCTTCAGAGCACAATACATGTACAGCAATTCTTATAAGTCGTATGACTGTTGATTGAGGGTCAGACTAACACAACTGTTGACCTTATATTTGTTTATCTGCTTTAGTCGTGTGTGTCCAGATTTTTTTTGTCAATCATTAGGAATAACTCCATCTGATATAAAGACTCAGTATATTTTGTAAGTTTTGGCTCACCTTTCAGAGTATCGATGCAATGCTCTTCAGAGAATCCACTAAGCAGAAGTGGAGTAATATATATTTGCACTGTGACACAGTATCGTGTGTTTGGCTCTAACTGCTGCACTTCCAGGCTGTTGTTTTTAATACAGAAGGTCCACTAGAAGAAAGACGGCATTTCCACATATTAACAACAGAAAGGCAACAACGTGTGAACTATGGGATCATTTGAGAACAGCCAGAACGTTTCTTAAAAATGTCACCTCTATACAGATTGCTAACTAGGACATTACGACTGTGACATTACTACCCTTCACCTGATATAGAAGAAGATAACAGGGCATAGACTGGGGAAGAAACTGAGTAATATAATGACAAGTAGTTATTAAAAGGTTATACAGTTTCATAAAGTACATTTCAAAAAAACATGTTTACGATCTGGCCTCTCATTACCTTCATGTACACAAGCATTTGCTCTAAAATCTCAGTATCTCAATGAATGGTGAATTTGGGATTGCAGGTGAAAGGTGATAGTCTGTTTTTATATAATGTGCAATTGTATCTTTAAATCTAAATGTAAAGTATATAGCAGAATGGAGCCAAGCATGAAGTTAAAAAAGAAGTTTTACATATCTGGAGCAGCCCTGTGGTATTCAGAAAAATAGCACTTGATCCTATGATTACCATATTGAGTGACCAATATGGTAGTTCAGTAGTTCAATAATCTCACAAGAGTTTAGCCTCCTTTTTGTTGCTTTAGTGACTTCATTGCCCTGACCTCGATAGCCCAGGCTAACCTGATCTCATCAGATCTTGGCTGCTAAGCATGATCAGCCCTGGTCAGTGTTTGCATTGGAGACCATCAAGGAATATTAGGGTCACTATGCAGAGACAGGCAATGGCAAACCACACCTGAACATCTCTTGCCACTTGATGGCAATTTTTTTTTTTTAAATAACTTCATCAGATGTACATTTGCCAAATCCATTTAGGGAAATTCCTGTAGATTTGAGGACAGGTCCTCCAGGGGACCTGTTTACTTTGGCCTGAAGATCAGTTTGTAATTACAGGAGAACTCTAGGTCCCATCTGAAGGTTGGCCATGCTAATCAAAAGCATCTGCCTTGCATTCAAACTCCTAGCAAAGAAGTCAGTTGCCTCAAAATAGCATTGGGTGTAATGGGGGGGGGGGCAGGTTTCCTGCTATGGTGGGAAACCTCCTGACCTAAGCCTCTTCCCTACAGCTACTTAACAGGCTGGAGGGGGGAAACGGGGTGGGGGAATTTTTTTGGTGCTGAGCTGACGTATGATGTCACTTCCGACATGAAACCAGAAATTCCACGGCTTAACCAAAAATTCCATGGCTTAACCAAAGAGTTTTAGATGTAACATAAAGTGTTGGCCCAACATGATGACATAACTTCTAGTGTCACACCAGTGATGCCAAAAGCTTGACCCCACTCCCAGATTCTCCTGCGTCGCTAGGGTGCTAGCTATGACTAGCAATCCTAGGTATCAGATGGGTTGCCTGGTGCCAGGATAAACAAACTGATTTCTCTAATAGGGCTCTGCAGCAGAACCTTTTCACGGTCTATATCTAGAAACCCTTCTCTTACCCTTTTCTTAATTTTTTTGTTGAATACAGTCACATTATATTGCAGGCTGGGGTATATTTGATGCAAATACTCGGGTTCCTCTCCTGGGGCTCTCTGCCATTTCTCAGGTGGAGTCACAATGACTGAAATAGAGTTTTCAGTAGAAGACAGGAAAAATGCAGGTGGATCGATTTTAGCTGGAAAAGAAAGCACATATAATGATGCATAGCAACAAGATACAAAAACGATCACATTCTGTTCTGGGTCTCTTTCTGTGGTTTATTTTTGTTATGAACCCTTCAAGTGACATGGATTTCTATCATTAAAAACTCCTGTCAACTCCCCAGGGCCCTTAAAAACCAATTCATTTCACCTTCTAAAGAAAGGCTAGTTATTAGGATCCCCAAATTTTTGAAACTGTTTCCAAGGGGATTTTAGTCTTCTTGTTCATAAATAGGTCCGCTATGCCCACACTGTGTGGCCAACTGCTTTTGAAACTGAGGGGACTTTCAAAGGCAGTTTGTGATATGGCATCAGGGGGTCCCCATTCATTGAAAAAAAAAGTTTTAAAATCCCACTGAGCTAGCAGAAACCCTTTGTGTGAGCCTAAGCAACTTCAGTAATTTCATTTAAAAGCCTTGGAAATTATATAAATTTTATGCTAACAATGTGCGCATAATGAAAATGTACTGCAGTAAAATGAGGTCTGTTAGAACTTTCAGCAGAGGAAGCAGACATCATACAGCAGAGAGTACGATACAAAAAAGTGGAAAAAGATGCATGCAAAAGTCTTGATAAGACCAAGAGTCACAAGCTATGTAGCCCCAACTGCTGTTTAATTCTCCACTGCAGATGGGTTAGTCCCATGCTTGGGTTGGATCTCCACCTGCAAGTAACTGCCTGATCTGAAGGGAAGGCATTCTAGGATGATAGAAGCTGATTTAATTATGTTTCTTTGCTCTATGAAGCATCAGTTTGCACAACTGCTACATACAAGTACAGACCAGTGTATGTTTGAGAGAACAAAATATGAAGAAGAAGACTGTGACCAGTTGAGACCTGTTCTTATATGAACAGTTCACATAGCCAATTGCCAGAAGCACAACACAAGAAGCTGGCACACTGGTCATATGAATTTGCTCAGCACCATGCAGCCTTCAAAGATAAAAAGGAAGGGCAAGCAACAGTCCAGGGCAAATAGTAGTTAAGAGAAAGCAGTGATTTCAAACCAGTTTTAACACAGCATTTATTGAAACATGCTGGATTTCCCTGTCCGTAATTTCTATGTGATATGAACAGAATTTTATTTATGTATTTATCTATTTGTTTCACTTGGGACCTAGAAAATTGGGTTCTTCTGAATGTCCATGGCTCAGTGGAAGAGCATCTGCTTGTCATTGAGAAGGTCCCAGGTTCAATCCCTGGCATCTCCAGTTGAAAAGACCAGGTGGTAGGTGATGTGAAAAAACCTTCACCTGAGACCCTGGAAAATTTCAAAAAATTAATTTCAAAAAATTTCAAAAAAACACACCCTGAGTATTGTATAGGGAAACTAATATATTATGTAGTGTGATACAAAAAAAATCTCCATCGTTTATGACCTGAAACCTTGTTACATACACTGAAAAAGATAAAAGAACTCAAGGTAAATATTAATACCATATCAGAAGATGTGGACAATGTGGCATACTTTGAGAAGAAACGTCTCTGGCTCCCACCTTGGACAAATTGGATACATTGGGTAGAGATCATTATAATTTATAACCAGGGGTCGTTTCGTAGAAAAAGAGCTAGGGGAACTCATTAGCATAACTCATTAGCATATGACACACCCCCTGACATAACCGGAAGTGTGTCATAAGGCCACACACACCGCTCCCAACGGTCCCCGCCGCCGCCGCCGGCCTTGCAGCTCCACTGCCGAGCCCCATGAGGGGCCCGGCGGTGGACCTGCAAGGGCGGCGGGAGTGCAAGGAAACCCCGCGAAGGCCCTCTCCCTGGCCCCAGGCAGGCAGAGGTGGGGAGAGGCAGGGAGGAAGCAACTTACCCTCCCTCTTCTCATGCCTCCTCCTGGCTGAATGAGGGCCGGAAGCGGAGCGGCCGGAAGCAGGGGGCGGGGCTTCGTCATGTGCCCCGCCCCCCGTACCTCACCCGGGGGAACTGCGATCCCCCCGAAATGACCTCTGTTTATAACCACGTATGATGCAAGAAATCCAGGCTCCCATTTAACCATTAAAGGACTGAAGATCTCAAAAACACTTAGTCACGATGACCTGACATTTTCCAGATGGGAACAAAAGATCAATGCTCAGTTAATCCACACACTTTCTGAATTAGGCAAAACTCAATATAGTATGTAATCAGGACAAGTATAAAGGGTTCAGGCTCTTGTTCAACCCAAAGGGGGCTAAAGATCTCAATCTAAGAATCCATTCTGCCTTCCTTCTCATTAATAGCTTGTCATTGTTGCCTGGTTGTTTGTGGGTGGCCTAGAAGACAATGTCTGTGATAGGATGATTATATTCAACAAAAAGTGAAACCAAAAGTGCTTCAGTTCTTCCAAGAGAAATGTTGCTTTTATGTTCACAAATACATGTTTTTAAACACCCTGAGATATTTTAAACACCTTAAGTTTTTTCCTATATATATAGCTTATCACATAGCACCTAATAGCCTATATCACTCCTTTAGAGTTACAATTCGTGAAGTTCCTTAATTCATACTGTTTTCCATCTGTAGGATTTATGAATACTTCAAGATTGCATGAAAATATACAGTATGAACAATTTCCAAATTTAAAATGACCCAGTGGTGGAGTTATACCTGGTTATAAACTGTCCTGGGTTCTTTTTGTATCACACTAGAAAATATGTTAGGGTCCATATACAATGCTCAAAGTGTATCTTAAATTAATTTGATTTAAATTAAATTAAAATTGATTTTTTTATTATTAGTGTGTATGTTTATTCTAAATCATATAATATTGGTATTAACATGCATCGATGTAATTGTACCTATTTTAACTTTGTTTTATTAGATCTCCTGATGAAGCTTATCAGGAAATGCATGGGAATCTAAAAGGTCAAATAAACTGCTCTCCCTTGCACCTCCTCCTTTGTTTCCTACCTACTGGTGCAGCCTTATTTTCTTCCCTACCTGATGTTGCAACCACATTTACAAACAAATTGTCATGTAAACATTTTATCAGACACAGTACATTTTGAATCTCTTGTAACATATCAGTTTTGGCTATCCTCCAGAATATCCCATCCCCGCTGTAAACATGTAACATTGCTTAGGTCTTTCCTTACTGTCTGTGAATGGATTAAACCGTACAGATTCTGCCCAGCCGGAACAGTTGCCATTTGAAAAGGCTTTTACTCTGGCATGATATAGCTCCTTATGGTCATACGTTTCATGTGAGAGGTCACACCAAGTTTGACTGATATCTTTGCATTCTGAATTTTTAATCCATTTCTTTGTGCCGTATCTGCATTTAAAATGGTGGAGAAAAGAGAGGGAGTTAGCAGTGCACTCATACAGCTCATCATCCTTTCCCGTAAAGATCAGTCCACAATTGCTTGAATGTTTCTCTAGAATGTTCCTATGACCTTTTCTATCGAGCCCCCATTCGTTCCTTGTGAGAAAACTTGCTCAGTGTAGTAGGGAATAACTCTTGTGGCCAAGTACACACAAAACAATTTATCCATTACTCTTACCTATAAAGTTTGTATCTTACTTTCCCACTTTTGAAGGTGACATAACCCCCCCCCCATTTTATTGTCACCACAACCCTGTGAAGTAGGTGGCTGAGCAACAATGGCATGTCCAAGATCTCTCATGGCATGTTGGTAGCTGCAAGATATTTTGATCTGGGGCTACTCTTTAAAATTTCAGTGGCCATTGCCATCCAAAGTTGCTGTTTCTGTTGAGAAGACAGCAAACATATTTGGAGACTCACTGATCTCTCAGTTCTGTTCAGTTTGTCCTTGTCCACCTTTCCTAACCAAGGACAACTGGGGGGACGGACTAAAAATAGCTGTTTGGTTTAGAAATGATGGCAAAAGCCAGGCCCAGATGATGAGCAAGTCCGATCATCTTGTATTTATTCCTTGCCCCTGGCATTCACGCCTCAGTGTCTTCCCACCTGAATTACTGTAATATGTTCTATGCAGAGTTGCCTTTGAAGACTGGTCAAAGACTGCAGCTGTTACAGCATTATGAGGATTACAGGTTTCAGGGAGAATGTTAAACCTATTTATTTCCATCCCTACTAGATATTACTTAATATCAATCAAAGTGCTGGTTTTTACTCTTCAAGCATCTGAAGGAACAATCCATTTATCCTTCCCTCAACTGTAGCAGAGAAGCTTTGTTCCAGATGCCATCCTTTTTGGTGGTAAGACTGATGGAGCTTTGAGGTAGGGCCTTTTTGGTAGTTGAACCAACTCTTTGGTTCAATTAAAACTTGGCTGCTTGGGAGAGCTTTCCCAAAGATTGGCTAGATGGTTTTGTTTTCACATTACTATTGCAGCCAAGTTCTGGTGTGTTTATTCCAGACAGGTTGTTGGCTTTACTTTTTTAAATTTGATTTTATTGTACCATGCCTTGTTTACTTTTATGACTTAAAAAATTACTTTCTTCTGACTTCTGGTTACAAAGGAATGACATCCTTACCTCTGGACAGAGATAGCTTGAGAAGGTTATGGAAGTAGGAGGGATTTTAGAAGAAACCCAATCAGTTGGTAGGGAGATTTCTGTCCTCTTTTGCTGAACAGTCCAGTAATGTAGGGTAAAGAAATAGAACCTTCATAATGTATTTACTTATTTAAATAACGTCTACAAAAATGTTCAAGGCTGCTTTAAGTAAAATTAAAAAAAAATCATGACAAATAGCCAAAGCAATAAATAAACTTTCAGAAGCCAGTAAAAAAAACCATAAACAAGACATGATAAAATAACAGATGAGGAAAAACAGCAGGTAGCAAATCAAAAGATAAAAACAAGCTGGAGATCTTAATTAAAAATTGGGAAATAGAACTGTTTTAACTTGCTACCTGAAGCTCAGTATAAATGGTGCCATGCACACATCTCCAGGAAGGGTGTTTCAGTACCCAGGCACAACTACTGAAAAGACCATTTCTTCACCAAATGTTTGAAGGTAGAGACACCTGGAGCTTTGGGACTGACCTTAAAGACTGAGATGTTCGTCATATGGAAGCTAGGCAGACTTTTTTCAATTCTGAAGTTAGGAAATCAGCTTTTTTGTATTGTATCCAGAAACAAGATACAGTTGCCAAAAGTATCAAAATATAACAGTGACTGAATCCTAGCTAGCGTGCCAATTACAGAAGAGCTTTGTGTCACTGATGCCACCTGGGCATCTAAAGTAAGGTCTAGATCTAACAGCCACCCAAAGCAGGAAACGTGATTTGTCATACTTTAAGAAGATACAATTTAGCAGGCAAGCCAAATTAAGACTTTCTTGTTCTATGAACTGGCAGGGAGTGGGTAAAGTGGATAAGACACACAGTGATGGAAGGGGCCTTTGAGCAAGAAGCCAATCCATGAGGAGTTTCCACACCAGCATCAGCTTCCCTTTCCTTTACAGCACACTGTCTCATAGGATTGTAGTGAAAACAACACAATGAAAAACTTTGCAAATTAAAGGTACAACACAAATCATAATAATGGTACCATGGGAAAATCAAACGTACATTAAATATTTCACTGTGTAGTTTACTTTTTCTGCTGCTATTCCTTCTGGTGGCAACCAATGTAAGACATTCTTCATGTTTTTTGAGACAAAATGGACATTCATAGGGCTGGGCAAAGTACAGTGTGTTGCTGTTGAGAAAATAACAATGGAGGAGATATGTGAACAACTGGAAAAGACATTTGCATTAATCAGATATAGAAAAGTAGTTGTAGGGAAGCAGAGAAAAATGGCTATAATTGGGAAGACAAGGAATTGTGCAGCACAATTGCATCTCCCTCTCTGATCACTGGAATCTTTATTCAACCTCCCCTAGCATTTTGCAATTTCAAAAAAGATCCTGTCCTTTTGTCCACTAAAGAGAAGGTAAAGGTTCCCTTGCTCGAAAGCCAGTCGAATCCGACTCTAGGGTTGCGGTGCTCATCTCCGTTTCAAAGCCGAAGAGCCAGCGCTGTACGAAGACATTTCCGTGGTCATGTGGCCGGCATGACTAAACACCAAGGCACACAGAACGCTGTTACCTCCCCACTGAAGTGGTACCTATTTATCTACTTGCAATTTCTTGCTTTCGAACTGCTAGGTTGGCAGGAGCTGGAAGTAGAGACGGGAGCTCACTCCGTCATGCGGCATGGCATACTCGGGTCTCGAACTGCTGAACTTCCGACCTTCCACATCTGGCAGTTCAGCGTCTTAACCACTTGAGCCACCGCAGCTCCTTTTGTCCACTAAGATTAGGCAAAAAGGTTAGTCTCTCTCTCTCTGGTCATCATGCCATAGCTGATTTATGGCAACCCCATAGGATTTTCAAGGCGAGAGACATTCAGTGCTGGTTTGCCATTGCCTGGCTCTCTGTAGCAACCCTGGTTTCCCTTTGGCGGTCTCCCATCCAAATACTGACCAGGGCCAACCCTGCCTGCGTTCCAAGACCTAATGAGAGCAGAGCAGCCTGAGCCATCCAGGTCGGGGCCGCAACATCTTACCCATGTAACTAGATTCTCGTCAGGGCTCAGTTTATCTGTACACCAACCACAAGTCATTTCTTGACTTATTTCTTGAAAAGAAGTGAGAGTTCTTAGGGGCCCTTATACATCTCAGCTGAAAACTGTGGGAACAATCAGGGAGATAACTGCACTTTCCAAGCTGAGGTACAGCAAATTCACCTTCTCCTCTGTGAAGACTCTCTCTATAAAGTACTTGCTTATCATGAGGTATTTCAAGCTTTAGGATGCAAAGGGAAAATGCTGACAAGAAGGCAACAGAGAAGAGGCAGGAAGTGGTAGTAGAGCTCGCAATTACGAATTAAGCAACAAAAATCCAATTATAACTGAATTATTTCAGATGTATTGCCTGAAGGGCATTGCTAACTTTGTTCTCCGTGTTAGTGTTATCTAGGAATTTGCTTCTAGTGTAATTCTGTTTAATTTCTTCACAGCTAGTTCATGTTGACCAACTTGTTTGAAACTGGTTCAAGCTTCTAGCCAAGAGGTACAACCTAGAGGGAGCTAGCTGCAATCAGCAGGACTCAAATGCTTAAACTGCATGCTGTTGGTATAATAGGGCTTAGATATGCTTAATTTTTTTCAGGCTTGTGCCACTGGCATTAAGTTCCTCTTCCTGTTCCAGAAACAATAATTTCCTTTTCCCTTTAATTTGTAATTCTTCCTTGTCAATGAAACCTATTTATGATAGCAGAACTCATACCTTAGCCATTCACCAAAAGAAGCCACTGGGCTGAAAAAGACACGTGGAAAGTGTATCAAGCCCACCCCAGTCAGAAGCAGGATTGCCAGCTCCAGCTTAAAGGCTAGGCTTGCCAAGTCCCCCCGGGGGGCAAGGAAACCCCCTCCCCAGAGGCCCGTTCCCCGCCACCGGCGGATTGGGCCTCAGGGGGAACCCCACCCCGGCATGCGCGTCACCAGGAAGTGACGTTATAGTGCTGGGCACGCTGGGGGCTGGGCCACGGTCATCCGAGGGAAAACTATGGTTTTCCCTCAGATGGTCGTGGCCCTGTTCCCAGCTTGCCCGGCATCATAACGTCACTTCCTGGTGACGTGTGTGCGGTGCGCGTGTGCTTTGTGTGTGTGCGCTCCAGCCCCTGTCCGCAGGTTTTTCCACTTGGCATCTCTATTAAAGGCAGTTCCTGGAGATTTGGTGACAGTGCATAGGGAGGGCATATTTTGGGTGGGGGAAAGAGCTTGGCAGAGATGCAATGCCATAAACTTCACTCTCTGAAGATGCCACTTCCTCCAGAGGAACTGATCTAGGGAACTCATCTGGAGATCATTTGTAACTCCAGACCCCATCTCAAGGTTGCTAATCCTAGCCAGTTGCAAGGATTTATAATTTGGCAGGAAAAGCAAGAGTACTTTTCTTAGCAGGAAAAGTGTGGGTGGTTTCTAGATAGGGTTGCCCGGTCCCTCCTGAGCACCAGTGGGGGATGGGAGGGTAGGGTTGCCAGATCCAGGTTGGAAAGGATCCGGAGGTCTGGGGATGGAGCCTGGGGAGTAGAGGGACCACAGTGAGGGTACAATGCCATAGAGTCCACCTCCCAGAGCATCCATTTTCTCCAGGGGAACTGATCTCATTTTCTAGAGATGAGCTGTAATTCCAGGGGAACCCCAGGTCCCACCTGGAGGCGGGCAGCCCTATTTCTAGACATCAAATCTAGATATATTTCAGCAGATTCAGTCCTTTAAATCTGGTTCAACCCCACAGACACTGCAGAGAGCCACTTGGCACTGCAGAATTCCAGGGGCTCCACACCAAAAAAGGAAATAATCTAGGGGGACCACAACCCTCAACCAAACCTGTAGACAACAGGGTCTGAAGTGCTCAGTTTTTCCACCTGCAATTCCTTTCTTGTGGAAATGGGAGAAGAGGCTCCCAACTAAGGAGGAAATAAATTCCTTCTGGATATGACAACATGTAGCCATGAAAGTGGAAAAATTAACTTTTCTCTAGGATAGGAAAAGAACTTGGGGGCAGTTGTGTGGCCTCCACTCTGCAGAGGCGATGTCAGGCTAGCATGGACTATGTACTTCATCTGATCCCTGTACAATGTTACCATACCGTTTCCCCATGCCATGCTGACCCTCCCACTCCCCTGCATAATTCCAGTTAATGCTGACTGCCAAAGTGAGGACACTTCCATGTGGGAATTTCTCTCCACACGGAAAGCAGGAAGCTCCTGGATTAAAGGGAAATGTTCACATGACACTGTTCTCATTCTGATCATGACTCACGGTGTTCTCAGGGCTTTCCCTTTTAACCTGGAGAGAAATGAAACCTGTTCTCTCTCTGCATGTGTGCTTACTGCTTTAAAAGAACTGGGAGGTGGCTGCGGTGGAGCCTCCACCCTGGGGAAGGATGGTGCAGAGCTAAGCTCCACTTTCAGAATGGCACTTTCTGTTCCCCTTTTTAGCCCTTTAAAGGCCTTTCCCATATTTTCCTGTGGAGCTGCACAGCTCAGCAGTGAAAGGGTAAGTTAAATGGCAGGAGTGTTCAGAGCTATAGGGGGCCATGGTGTGATTGCTGTCATGTGCCTGTGCATGGGGAACAGGCAGGGTTGCCAACCTCCAGGTTGTGCCAGGATATCTCCCAGAATTACAACTGCTCTTCAGTCTACAGAATTCAGTTCCCCTGGAGAAAATGGCTGTTTTGGAGGGTGGACTCTATGGCATTATACCCTGCTGAGGTTCCTCTGTCAAGAAACTGGCTTTGCCCAGCATAGGGTTGCCAGGTTGCCTCATTGCACTGGCAGGGGGATTTAGGGGGCATTTCAGGGGTGGGCAGGGATGTTGTGTGACATGCTGACATCACCCAGAAGTGACATCAGCATGTCAGCGACATCAGGGGCAACTAGGCTTGCCAAGTTCTCAGTCAGGGCATTTCCCCACTTTTGCGGGTTCTGGCCCATGGCTGGCCAGCTTGCCAGTGGGGAAAACCCCACCCCCAGAAGTCCCCATGCAACATCGGCAATGAGCTGACATCACTTCAGGAAGTGATGTCATCGTGTCAGTGATGTCAAGGTGACACTCTACTTTTTGGGCAAAACTCTATGGTTTGTAGCCATTTTTACCATAGAGTTTTGCCCCAAAAGTAGAGCATCCCCTCAACATCACTGATATAATGATGTCACTTCTAGAAGTGAAGTCAGCGCATTGCCAACATCCCTACTCACCCCCAGAACACCCCCAAATCCCCCCGCTGGCAGGAGGAAGGCACCTGACAACCTGAGGAGTGATGCTCTGTTTTTTAGGCAAACTCTATGGTAAAAATGGGCTGGGTTCAAGTGAGATCATTTGGGCCTAGAAGCTTCAGGCCCAGAAGACCAGGAGTTTTGCCTCCACACTCCATCTCATTAGCACAAGGAACCCTGGATTGGGGAAGGTGGCTAGCTTAATTGTGCCTATGTGCAGCTGCAGAATACATGGCCGCATGTCTAGCAACAAACCTGATTGGTTAGGCTACCTGGCTAACAAGACATTTGATTGGTCAATTAGATTCAGGCCAATTGCTGACGGTTTTGGCATAAAGGAAGATCATTCATTCTAGTTTTGCACCTCTTCTAGTTTGGACATTTTTTGACACCATTGGGCCAGGTTGGGCCTTGTGTGGCTGGAACACCTGCTGTTGGACTTTGGACTTTGAAACTTTGCCTGGATTCTGTGTCTCAGTCTGATCAAGTAATATCTGAATTAGAGAACAAAAGCTCAAATATGTATCGTAACCTAAATCTCTGAGGAAGTGCACATGCACGCAAAAGCTCATACCTTGAATAAAACTTTGTTGGTCTTAAAGGTGCCACTTAGGTTAGCTGTTTAAATTTTATTATTTTCTCCTTGCTGTTCACTGCTCTTATATATTCCTGCACATTTCTTTGAATAAACCTTATTAATTATATCCTGGTGTTCTTTGGGTTTTGGGGCTTTAATCTAAATCCAGTACTTTGGCCTTCATTGGCTATAGCTACCAGAATAATTGTTTTTGGAACTCAGTTTGCAAGTGTCCCACCTTGTAGGGCTGTCTTCTTGATTAACAACCAGAAGAAGAAGAAGAAGAGAAGAAGAGATTGGATTTATACCCCACCCTTCACTACCCAAAGTCTCAGAGCGGCTTACAAACTCCTTTC